CGTAACTGCGCTGGGAGTTTAGCAAAATCTCAATAACATCACCAACATCAGACTTCCACAGTGACTGCCCGGGTGTTCTTGGTATTTGTCTGTTCATTTGAAAAATCTACCTCAAAGAAAACTTGTCCTGTTCGAAAAAAAAACACGAAATAGATCATAATTAATACAATCAAATAAAAATGAGTGTAACTGGAGAAGAAGATACCTATGACTGCATAAAGTGATCGCCATATTACTACAGGCAAATAGAATAATAGAGCTTGAAATGCAAGGATAAATGGTACCCACTGATAATATCCTGTAATTCATTTTGAATTAAAATTTGTGCTAACGCAACAATTATTCTCGTTTCACAAAAAGACAAATTTATACCATTTCATGTCGTGACAAATATCGAGCACCAAGATCTCTTAGATTAGTCTTACATACAGCGATTCTGAGCTAACGAAATATAACTAAATTGACAGCTATTTCAAGCTACTCGGAGATGAATTACCTCTCATACCACCAGTTTCAAAATTTCGCTAGCTTAAGATGCCCTCGCAGAATTTTATCGCCCTCGGTGCTCTGGGAGATACCAGAATGAAAATTCCTCTTACTTTGACTCCTTTAAAAGTAACGTTAATTCTACGTAGTCAGTTAGAACTCGAGTGAAGTGTTCGGGGACACATTCAAAACTGAAAGCTCCTTCAATGTTTTACGTTCTCTTTGGGAGAGGAAAACGTGAAGTACTGGAAAGGTATTAATAAATTTCCTTTTTTGAATTCTGTCCAAAAAACAAAGGTAGTTTAGCTTTCCTACGTGTTGGTAGCAATTTACAGTCGAAACGAATTAACGAATCGAAAAACGATTTATTAGGAAAAAATTCAATGATTTACAAGAAATATGTAAATGACAGCCCTGGGATTTATTCGCCACCTGCCACTGAACGCCAGAAAAGACAGACGATCCAGGAAAGCAGATAAAAACCACTGTATATATCTGAATCTTATATTTTAAAAATTTTAAAAAATGAAATTACCAATCAGTCGGTTTTCGCGTTCAGTGATATTCTTCGGTATCGGAATTACATGCTCTGCGATATCCCAGTAATTATCAGGAACAGTATCAGTGAATGGTAGAAAATACGTATTTTGTACAAAGCAATAATCTAACGCATATTCTATCCACCATCCTCAAAAATTTTTTGATAAATAAATAACTAAAAATGTATAATAGATCAAAAATAAAAATTTGATTGGAAATTTTCACAGATAATTGTATTTTCGTTTCCACTGAAGTACCGCGATTTTGGTTTCGTGTAAGCTATCAAGTTGTGTACACCAGGAAGAACAGCTAGACTGGTTATGTACCAAGAATGAGAGGCAACAAGTGGACAAAGTGAATTAATGAAACAAGCAATAAAAATGCGAAACGCAGCCAGTGCGGTAAAAAGATCTGCTTAAACGACTGTGTGGAGTTCATTGATTGACGGAGGTTCGCAAAAGAGGAGAATTGAGAAGTTGCTAGCTGTATGAATGATGGGAATGAACGCGATCATGGAACAGCGCTAATCAAAGATTTCAAAACAAAATGTCATGTACGTAAATTTTCACCAAATGGAAGCTAGGGAATTAGGCTGCATCAGTACTGATTGGCTACAGGGAATCTTTGAAATAAAACGAAACAAATTCGATTAGGGAAGACAAGGAAATTTTCTGTTCTACTGGCTATGGCAGAACATTTTGCTGAAAAATTCCATTTGGGTTTGAAGGATGTCAAATGTGAAGTATGTGGTCATTTGTCAAACCTCGAACGTACTTCGGCAAAAAAGCATACCTTTATAATAGGCTGGAAACCAGCATTGTATTGGTGAGCCAACAAAACTGAAATTTTTGCAAATTTTCAAAAAAAAAGCAACTAGAAAATTATGATATATCAGTATTCTGTTCAAAGGCCAGAACACTCGAGACAACGTTGAGCGAGGACCCACGAGGAAGTGTGGAAAGAAAGGATGAATAAAAGCAGTAGAATGTTAATAAAAATTTTTCCGGATTGTTTAAGTTTTGTCTTGAAAATTCAAAATTTTCGAAGTTCAAAATCACATAAAAAGTCATAAACAGGTACTGCCTAGAAATATGCAAACCGATTTCGGCTTAACACTCAATTTAAAATGGCATATAAGAACTCAAAAATTAAGGGCCTGGCATAGTTGCACATAATATCACTAATACAGGATAATAACTAAAGAGTTTTATCGGGATCGAAACGAGTCAGCCTTTCTACTATTCTTTGTAAATTAAAAGAATCAAAGTGCCAGATCACGAGCTACTGAATTTTCAAAAAAATGTAACCAATGTAAGTAAAACGCGCGACGCAAAAATTTTTTATCCATCAAAAACCTTCACCTTCCAAAATCTTAAGATTTCGAATATCAGATTTAAAATTCGCCTCTCATTCCGGAGCTAGAAGTTTCTTCCGTAAAAAATTTTCGCTTTAAATGGGACGGAAAATTAGCGGATAAGAAAAAATTATACCAGATGAAGGGAAGACCCTCAACAGTTCTGTACTACGGTGCATAATAAAGAAGAAAAATGATATAATCCCAAAATCATCTGGGTGGAAAAAATAACCTTCGATGTGACCTCAAGGTTAACTCCGCTTATTCGATCCCCGAATAGGGCAGATTACGAATATACTGAAGCCGGAAACATTTTGTGTTTTTATGGTGAATACACAGGTGGCCACTCAAATAGGACTTGACCTAGATGACCTTGAGAAAAAAAGCACATAACGGATCAAACAGCCACACAGATTTGTAGCGGCAAGAAAGACACCACATTTCAGGAAGGGGTCCTTAAATGGAAAAAATAGGAAATGGGATAAAATACGATTTCTACCACACGTAAGTAAGAGATCCAAATTCAGTAATACCTTGAACAGCTACTGTTCACGGCATGCTCAACAGTGTCACAATCACTGGAAGATATCACAACGACATGATCTCATGTAAAATTCTTCAGGATTTTGAAAAAAAACTGCATTCTTTGTTTCCAAAGAATCTTATTTCTTATTTTTTTTTTGGTTTTTCGCTGGTATTTAACGTTTTGGCTAGTCACATTGGCAGCAGGAAATATAAAACACAGAATTCGGGTAAGGGACGAAAACAAATTTGCAAATTTGAGCCAATTTGAGCTACAGATAGCGTATGAGACGAGCAAGGATATGAAAGTAGTCAGAATAGAATTCTTAGATTGTGACAAACAAGAGTTTTTCTTAAGAAAGTTATTTTGTTTTCCAAGATAATCCTTAATCCCGCAGGAGTGAGCAGAATTTTGAGAACAACGGAAGCAAGGATTTTTCTGGAAGACTAATTTTCCGACTCAATTTTTTCCAATGTACTCAAGAATTATGAGAACTTGAGAACTTTAAATTCAAGAATTATTTGGCTTAAATTTCGCTGCTGCTAAAAATCATTTTGTGTCCAAAAACTACTAGTTCAAATTTCGCTGCAACTAAAAATCAATTTTTGCGTTCAGGAAAGAATCAAAGTGGCGAACCTTTCATGAAAAAAGCAGCGGGAGTGGGGCAATAAAATTAGCATAAAGCATCGATAAAAATATCCGCAGTCTGAGGTGCGAGAAAAAAAAATTCGTAATTTTCTGTCAAAATATTTTAATCGCCAATATCAGTGCATAAGCTGATTTTGTCAATATATTTTAGAAAATTTTCGGGTGATCGAACGACCCTCATTCAGGCGATCTCCGAAGAGGTGGCGCATATACATTGAACAAGCGATGAATAATAACTAGAAACGTGCAGCTAAGGATCGAAGGCCCTGGAACAAATCTGTCCAACATGTGGCCGAAAAATCCAGTAACATTATCAAAATGGGAAACCTGCAGCCGATTGTGTAGTTGGTTTTGACACAGTTGTGTTATGCGCCCAATTATTTGAGTGTAGTGAAAAATCAAATTCAAAAAGAGCCGCTAACCTCCATCCGGAAATAAAAGCCGACATAATAACCAAAATAGTGGTCGAATAACAGTAACTGATACGATCAGCTGCATCACCATCCGGAAGCGGAGTGACCGCCCGAAGTATTCCGCGAACTATATCCATGCAGTGTCTTCGTTACCAAATCTTCATTTGTGTTCAAATTAATAAAAACCTGTTTTGTTTCTTACAGCAAAAGTAAAATGCGCATCCAGGAAAAAGAGGAAATGCACTTGCTTTCTGAGCAAATAAGATACAAAGTTCCAGGATCATAACAAAAGTGTAAGGGAACATAAGTAAATTGAAGCGAATAAAAGTAAAGTAGAAAAAGCAGGCATTCAGAGGTAATAATACAAATAGGGAGGAATTAAAACCACTGATGTGAAAACATTTATACATTTAAAATACATATATGTGTATAATTCAACTAGAACAATGACCTTTCGGCCTAATGAGCTGTGCACTTCTTATCTTAGCCTTTTTATTTATCAGTAGGGCAGATGCCGCACTTTTGAGCAACACAGAACGAAGATGCATAAAAAAGAATTCATAGAACAAAAAAAAAA